ATTATTATTATTATTATTATTATTATTATTATTATTATTATTATTATTATCATTATTGTTATTATTATTATCATCATCATCACCATTGTTATTATTATTACTAGTTATTATTATTAAATTGAAAAACGATTCAAGATATGTTGAGGTGCAAGCTAATGATGTTATTCAAACTATTTAGTATGTTTTTGCATTTCTGTAAATGTCAAATTTTTTGCTCTGTTGTAGTTAACAATGCAAAACAATGCTTGGCGACTAAATCTAATATAAATGGCATTGTAGTTTCTCTCCTTTTTTTCATTTCATTAAAATTTATGCAAAAATATAATTTTCGATGAGATATAAGATTGGAATACATTTTTTTAAACGGAAATCTGTGAATAAAATGTAGTTCTTGGCAGAAATTCCGGATTAAAATATAATTTTTGACAAAATTTCATCGAGAAACTTAATGGCGAAAATAATGGAATAGAGTGGATCAGCAAGTGATAAAGGTGACGGTGAATTGAAAAGTCAAATATTATGACGATTTATTAGCCGGCTTCACCGATAATAAGTATTTATAATTTTTTCCCTAGTTTTGATTATCTTAAAAAAAAAAATAATGGAAATTTTCAGAAATGTCCACCTGTTAAAGGGTATATTAGAGGTGTTGTATATTTGACAGCATATTATATACGCCATATGGGTCAAAATGGTTGTGAGGTTACCTATATCAATCATTCCGATCCAAAAGGTGATTTGTTTTAATCATTCACTGATCCATTTTATATTAATTTCATCCATAATTTTTCATTGGTAAAATTTATACAGTTTTTTTTAAATTATAAATGATGCTTCATTTGCCTTAACTACAGTTGTTGAAGTTAAAATTTTTGAATATTCATGGTATAAAGCAATAATAATAATAGAAATAATGATAAGTAATGAAAGCAAAAGTAATAATTAATTTTAGATTTTGAATAAATATCGGCGATATTTTATATTTATTTTGATATAGTTTCTACTAATGCTCGTTAAATTTTCATCCTAAATTGTAAAGTATTCGCCGCTTTTTCTTTCAAAACCATTTCTAACTTTCAAAAAATAAAAAACTTCCTCAAAACATTTATGAAAACTAATTTGTTGCTCAAATTAAAATATAAGATCTCTAGTCAATTGTAAACAAACTAATTTAAAATATTGGTATTTTTTCATTTCAAATGAAGATAACAGCGATTTTTATATTATTAGATTTAATGATATACTTGAAATCACTTCCATCGTTCTTTCATATTTTCATAAATTTTATAAAAGTTCCATACATTGACTTGTTTTAAGATATAAAATTATTCCAAAATCAAAATTTCAATACATTTTTTTTCCTTGTTCAGGTAAAATACCACCATGGCTAACCAATCATTTAACTAAAGTTATTGGACCAAAATTTATCAAAAAGATACATAAAGCCTGTTTGAAATATGAACATTGGAAGCAAGATAATTGTCCTAATTGGAAGCCATGGATTTATCCGGAACAACAGGTTATTAATTATCCGGTGCCAATTGGTTTTCTTCATCATTTCCTGATATATGCAAGCATATATATATATATATATATATATATATATATATATATATAT